CGAGCGATATATCTGTCGGCGGGGAATCCGAGTTGGTGGTGAGCGAGATCAACGACACCCGACGAGAATATAATAATTCAGGCACGGCGATGTGAAACGGAATATCTCTTCGAATCGAACATGTCAAAACATCGCAGATGCCTTAGGTACATAATGTCTTGTGCCGAGGAAGTAAAGAAAAGGGATATAGTGTATTTTACATGTAACAAAATAATATTTGTTATTTTGTTCTAGCTGTTACAGGCATGTTTCTTTTAACACGATTTGACAAAATGTCAGTTCCGATGAAAGGTCATATTGTTCCTAAAATTTTAAATCGTTTAACTTGACGAACACTCAAAGGGGTGGAAGAGGGAGGAAATTCAATTAAAAGGTTTAATAACATTTACGCATTCATATGATATACTATAAGCCCTATAGGCTGTAGCCGATTTAAGTCATAATCAAAAAAATATTGCATTGAACCCACAAAATGGCGCGCAATGTCCGTTGCTGAGGTGAGGAGACAGTCAGGAACGGTAAGCAGGTTCGCGAGTTATCAATATTGGTAAAAAAAATAATTAGAAATTATTAAAAAAAAACATTGAGAGGTGTCAAGGGACACCCGGATGGAACGAAGTTCCTTTCGATTAATTAGTGAAGGAATTGTAATAAAATTTTATTTGAATAATCGTCGCGACACCACACTGTTCAATGCGAAATAGAAATGAAAATATCTGGTTTGCTTTCTATAAGAGAGAGAAACAGACAGAGAAACATGCGCACGCCGCACAGCTTACAATATAGCTTACTATAGCATAAAGTGTCGTTACAACTTTTCGTGAGAATTTTTTCCGTCTAGCCCCCTTTCACAACGCGCGATAAGGAACTTCGTTCCAATTATCTAATGTAATATAATTAGATAATGTCGTATGCGTTTATTTGTATGCTTGTATTAATCACGAATGCGCACGTGTGATATTTAAATACTATGTTGTCAACCTGATGCCAACGTAGTTTATTCTCTTATGAGCATTATAAATAGTAGGGGAGATTAGATTCGACCATTGCCGCCTACAAGTATCATACACACCTCCAACATTTCACGTCGTTCCTTATTTAGATTTCGCTATTGCTTATGAGATAATAGGTAATCATGTAATGCCATGAGTTTACGATAAAATCATCTGTTTGCAAAAGCTTCAAAAGGAAACGAATGTCAAGATGAAATACTTAAATTCAAAGAATGAATTTATCGAAAGAAACATTACGAACCCCTGTAAAAACTTCTATTTACGTCTATTTATTAACCGGAGTCGTTGAACTAGACGTGTGCACGTGTTTTATTGGGAAATGTATGCGGTACACAAATCTTGAATTCATCCAAGATCTCGAGGCCATCGACCGGGGCCGTCAGGATCATTGGAGTCGTTCGCGAACATTATTTCGATCACCGTTATTTTGTACATCGAACAGTTGACTCAATTAGACCGACCAAGTTTATTTTGAAACCGATAAATTTGTTAAAGTCATATTGTCAGAGGAGCGCCGAAAAGCTCTAGATGCGGTGGTCTCAATTTAGCGATACAAATTACACAATTGGCCTATTACCATCACAATCAGTTGCATCCACCAAACGCAATGAAGTGTCATAGTAGGAACCTACTTATCACTCAATTGTATTCCTTTGATTATAATATATGCCTCTAGATTCCTAGTCCGGCACGTCAACTGGTAGAATTGTCAGATGCAGGAAAGTACTTACAGAAAATATCAGTACGTTTTGCGCGCCAGACAAAAAAAATACTATTTTAAGATTAATATATTTTTATTTTTAGTGCTAGTCTCTGCACTCAAGGTGAAACTTTAAATTTATTTTTTTTAGATAAAAAAAATAAAATAAAATTTATTTTTTTAGATAAAAAAAAATTGCGCTGGGGGATTCGAACCTGCCTTCTCGCAAAAACGCTTTCCCAATTATGCTAAGAGGCCGATGACCTCGCGGCGCGAAAATTTTTACATCTATCGACATTCGCTCTATTTCTATCTTTGCAACGCGAAATGCATTGTAAGGCATGAAAATTTTCTTTGCATGTTTGTCCTCTAAGCAAACACTAAAAGCGTATTTCGGGTATTGCTGGAAAGTTATATAACCGTTTCAGTAACTTCATAGTAGGGGGTATCAGAAGGGGCAAACGCGTAGGCGGAGGAAAATCGCAAACATGCTGTTTAACAACAACCCGGTAAGAAAACCGGGCAAAGCGTTGTAAAATAATTGATCCGGTATAACTTGACGACCCGAATGGCGTAGTGGGTAGTGAACCTGCGTCTTGCGTCAGAGGCTATGGGTTCGATCCCCACAACTGGAAAAATATAAAATATACTGGAGTATATGTTACATGGAGTAATGGAAACAAGTTTATGGGAGCAAAGAGAAGAAAAGCGATAAATTAGAGAAGGGGATGATTTCGAAATGCTCCGAATTGAATTTAGAACGGAACAATTAATTCAGAAAAGCAGGTCTATTAATAAACCATTGCTTTGTGAAATATGATTTGAACAGATATTGATAATTTCTTATAGTTTAGCAAAAAAAAAATCATGTACTTTAATTACTAATGAGCCTTTAATAAATTTAACTACTCTTGTGAAATTCGTCACGTTTTATTTTAAACTAGGTATAATTTAATTGATGGTCACACGGGACGTATGTATCGCAAAACAGTTTCATTTAGTAATAGTTAATTAATTTGCATAACACAAATAATTGAATATATATCAAGGACGTACGAGTACAGTTAGTGCAAACAAAATGATCACAATTAATTTCAATGATCAACTTTAGGGCCAACTCAAATATTGAATATGAGAGCGTTTAATTTAATTCTTCTAATTTCTCTCAATGTATTAAAAATTTCTCTCAATGTAATTCTTCTAATTTCTCTTTCTTCTGCCCTTATCCCAAACTAGGCTGGTTAGGCAACATGCCCTTTCTTTCAACTTATCTCTATCAGCCGTCATCTCAATATCTCTTTTACAGACATATCGTTTTTCACACAGTCTATCCAAATCTTTCTCGGTCTTCCTATAAGCCTTACACCCTCCAACCATGACTCTTCTAGACACATGACTTTCATCCCTTTTCATACCTTGTCGATACTATGTTATCTACCCCTTTCATTGTATGCCACGTTTTCTTAAAGGCAATAGCTCAAGGTGAGTTGTCGGTCGTTAAGATATTGATAACTAGTATGTAATTTAATATAAAAGCCTGTCTTGCGAATATCAATATAACGTTGCACATATGTGTATACACATGTTCATCGTTACTTATTATCGAAATTAATTTGTACATATACTTGGACATAGCCAGACTAACAAAAACATATCTTTGAAACCTTTTATTTTTCATTGTTAAATGAAACTGTTTATCACTTTTTAATTTTTATTTTAAATTCCCGACGTTTCGAAACATTTCCAGCGTTCATGGTCACTGGAGAAACAAGATATCGACGGTTTATTTTTCCGTTTAAAGAACATATATTGAAATATATATTGAGACATGTTATTTCAATTCTATGTAGTTATTTAGTATGGTTTTTATTCTGATGTATATTAGCAATGTTAAATAATTGAATTTTTGTATGTTTGACCTTTATGCGAGAATAATTATACGAAAAATCGAGGAGAAAGTTTTAAAGTAAAACTCTACTTTATTTCAAACGGTAAATTCATATTTTGTTTGATTAAACATGTTGTATAATACATTTTAGTGTTCAGATTGTATTGCATGTAATTTGATTTCGTTAGTAAATAATATATTTGGTGGTTTAATTTATTAATTCATAATACACAAAAAAATTTCACATTTTAAGCGATGCGTTGCGCTTCCTACAAATTTTCTATCTAAGCTAGAACGTCTGAAGGAATGGCTATTTCTTTTTAAATCCCTATTTCATGATAATTTAAGTACACGGGTCATAAATTTAAACCGATTCTGGACAGATGTCATACCACTTTTTGGTCATTGAACCCTGTTATTCCAATAAAAGGTACTGTGATATTTCGTACTTCTTTCGTGTAGATCAATGGTTCTCAAAGTGGGCGGTAATTCACCTCTATAGGGCGCTGAGACTATCTGAGGGACAAATAAATATGTAATGCAAATAAGAATAAGCACCGAAAACTTTATTTCTAGGGAGTGTACATTTTCTGTCAAATAACCTGATAGCCGCTTAACATCTGATTCCAGTAAAGAGTGTGCGGAGATTGGAGGAATCTACAACTCACCGATCGTACTAGACTCATGTCGTTTGAAGTCAGAAGAGAGTAAAATCAATACGATATTCACGCGATTTTTTTTTTCATTTTTAAAACACCCTCAGCTCCAACAGGTTTCAAAGGCCTAAAGCCACGCCGGTAGAAATAAACGCGTCAGCGAACGAAAACCGTGTGAGAGTCGCGACTACTCGTCTATTTCGTAATCGGAGCGCTTTGCATGCACATTGTGAAAAGAAAGCGATGATAATATGCGAGTGGTTTACGAAGTGCGCCCGTATGTGTACACATCTACGGAACACGTTAGGATTACGAAGTGGGCGGATGCACGAGATACAAGATATATTTTGGTCCACCAACGATCGTTTACGGGGCACGTGGTGCTCGCGAAACGATCTAAAGTACTCGGATATGTCACATGATAACAAAAATTACAAAATCTCAGCCTCATCTGAGATGATCTGGAGTGAGAGTATGTGACTGTCCTCCCTCCCTTTTTCAAAATTACGTGTATTTTGTACAAAGTATCTTAAAATGCCTGATATTACATTTCAATAAAGGTGATAAAAACGTTCAGACAGTCTTTTTTTTTGGCGCACTGCCGAATCTTCTCGGCATCAGCAAGTCGAGTTCACACGTCGATTTCGCCCCCTCACCCTCCTTTCCTCCTTTAGCCTTACGTGATTGATGGACGATCCCTAACCAAAGGGTATACGTTAAAGGGAAAATCGTCAATCCATTACCTCCTCATCCTCGGCTATGAACTGTACGGAGGTCTGCTTGGATTGAGTCTGCTCCGCCGCGTTCACCTTCACCGGCCGCGCGTCCCCCGGATCCAGAACTGGAACAAAGACAAAGACGTTCATAAACATCTTTATTTTTTTTCTTTCCTTTAATAAAACATTGCCCTTCAAATCCAATCAAAAATATCTTTATTTAAATAGACGCTTGCACGTTCTTATGAATCGTCAATATATAAATATATATATATATATTATCCTGTATCATAAGGACGTTCTAGAAACGCAAATTTTAAGTGGACAAACACCCAGATCCGAAGCAATTATTATCTGTGTTGTCCCGTGTGGGGAAATTGCTGATGAAACTAACAACCGAGATCGATAGGAAACGGAAGACATTATATCGTTCCCTGATAAAGTCCGTTTTATTGTAGCAAGTGGAACGGTAACGCAAAAAAACGTTCAAAACGAGTAATTTCTTAACTTCCGGCGACCCAACTACGTTAGACGGCCGAGAAGGTCGATTCGTTTCTTTTCCGGGTTAGAGCGTCGAGTACGGCCTAGAGCCAAATATTTACTTTAAGCCGGACTTATCGGCGGAGCGCTGTTGTTATTTGAGTTGCTTAGAGATAAACGACTCTCAAAAGTCACCGAGTTGTGAGTCAGTGTGTAGACATTCAGCTCTATATCTTTATATAAACACGTAAATGTACAAATATGTAACCAACGCTATCTTCTATGGAATTAAATTAGTGCGTGCAATGACATATCAACGTGACGTGCGCAATCCGTCACGAAAGCGTCGTTAAAAACTCTATTGCCCTTCAAATAAGATATTATTAGGAATTTTATTTAATATTAATAATTTAATTGAACATTAAACATCCAATTTTGCGACAATTATCGTAATACCTGACGGATTGCAGATGCGCTGTCACTAAAAAAGTAGACGCCGGCTACCCCACCCCCTAGATGAAACGTGAAAGTAAAATACTTTCACTTCAAACCCACTTTCTGTAAAGCCTTGGACGAGCTTACCCAATTCATCGTTTCGTCATTCATGCAATAGCAGAAGCTGCATTACATTTTATTTAATTTTAAATACGAAAATAATTATAAACGCCTATTACCTATTATGTACAACATATTACCAAAATTGGGACATAACTATTTTGGGAGACATTTATGCGGTTAATACAAAAGAAAGCTGTTTCGAAGTAACGAACCTCGATATATTGAATTCTTGAATGACGTCGTGCATTAAGAGCAAGCGAAATGAAAAAATAAACAGTTCATCACTGAACTAACTACCCATACCGTCATAAACACATCAACGCAGCGATGGATTTGTGAATCATTAAGATGTTTTAACGGCTACACGGGCCGGTGGAGGGAAGTACCCGATATTGGTATCGACCTCGAAACAAATGTTAATAGCCGGGATGACGTTCGTAACGGTACGGTTGATGTCGTTTCATAAACGTGAGCTGTTTGAACAACCGATAGCTACAACGTGATTGACAGAAGTGCACGTGAGCGAGCAACTTGCACGTGGTGCGGGAGTCGACGGTTAATTCCTCCCTTTCCTTTGCCCTCCCGAGCCGTGATAGCTCAGTGTTCGGGCGCTCGCCCATAACTTAATATACTCGAGCAACCTCAGACTCGACCAACCCAGTGCACCAGTAAAGTTGTTAATTGTAGCGCTTGTAAACCTGTATATTTCGAAAAAAATAACAAAAAAAATTATTTCGAATACATGTTAAGTCCGCCAATCCGCAGTGGAGTCGCGTATTGGACTATGCCCTGATACCCTCTGTACAGAAGAAGCCTTTGCCCAGCAGTGGGACATGTATAGGCTGATACTTTAGTTTTATACTTTTTCCTTTCCATTCGGATGATTAGACGCTTAGCACAGCTCTATGCCTTCATTGTCGACATTCCACGCAACGAACCAAGCGACAAAGTGATGGAACTATCTAACGGCGTCTGGCTTTCCATCAAAATGTTACATGGGTGTATTCAAGGTTAAAGTTCACATCTGCTGGTCCACTACAAATCTCGTCCAGGTAGGATAGCCGAGCGCAAGGGACTGTACACTACAAAGAGCATGTCCGTAAAGGTAAGGGGAATTTAGAAGACGGATTTCGGCGATGCGCAGTACGGTCGTGTGTCGGGTATGTCATGAGACCCTTTTTAGGATTCCGTACCCAAAGGGTAAAAAGGTATTACTAAGACTCCGCTTTCTGTCTGTCCGTCTGGCACCAGGCTGTATCTCATTAACCGTGGTAGTTAGGCAGTTCAAGTTTTCACATAATATGATGTATTTCTGTTGCCGCTATGACAACAAATACTAAATAACAGAACAAAAAAATATTTAAGTGGAGCACCCGTACAAGAGACATGATTTTTGATATAATGGCAGGGAAGCCTTCGTGATCGAGTGCGACTCGCATTTGTTCATCTTCGTTCGATTATGTTTTTGTTTTTTGGTTTCGATAACAGAGTAAACCTTCACGGGGCACAGTGCAGCGAGACCAGTTTCCACGTGTGAATAAGCAAAAAATAATTTAAAGGCAAGAGTGAATAGGCCTTTACTGAGCTAGCGCGCTTAGCATCCACGGTTGCGTTGCCACTTACCATCAGGTGAGATGCCAGCCAAGCGCTAGTCAGTTCAATATAAAAAACTGGTCTGAAGTATATACAGGTCGCTTAAAAAGTGAACAGATCTACGTGTTCTCCTTGAACATTTCTTCGAGCCATTTTCGTTTTATTACCAAACGGCCAGTGCGTTGTAAAAGATAGTGGTGGTACTTGCTTTAAGTGTATATAAAAATAAAAACACAACAACAGAGCGAAGTTCAAGGCACGCTACAGGTTACAGCGAGTTTAATTATATTGAAATTTCATGTAAGTATTTCAAGTGCAACGCGAGTGACCGCATTCTTTCTTCAATTGTTTTATTGTCTTATTTGTGTAGAAATGTTTGACTATACTATACACACATACTATATATACTTGTACTATATTACATGCTGCGATACATTATTGTTTCTCAACCGACTTCAAAAAAGGAGGTTCTCAATTCGACTGTATTTTTTGTATACACGTTTGTTACCTCAGAACTTTGGACTGACTGAACGGATTTTGATGATTGTTTTTTTTTATTGGTAAGCTGGTGCTTCCCATGTGGACTCATATTAATTTCATTGGTGTTGGATCTTGGGCTCCGGGGATACTTTGGGAACTCCTGGAAATCGATAATAAAATGAATGCAGAGCGAGATATTTGAGGTCGGTTTTGTTTTTCGTTAGTAAAAAAATGGTTGTCGTTCATAGCGATTGAAATTGTGCGAGCGGTTGTCGCCTGATGCACGATCTGCCCTAGATTAGAGTCGCCCATAGACACAATATCCGAGATGATGCAGGCGTGATGCCTGATAGCACAGAGACATTGGACAGTTACCTTAATTACAGGATGAATCGAACAAGTATAAATAACGCTTAGATATAAGTATAATATTTCACCCTGTTTTTTTAGTATTCCGTGTCCAAAGGGTGAAACGGGACCCTATTAGTAAGACTCCGCTGCCTGTCAGTCTGTTTGTCTGTCTGTCTGTCACCAGGCTGTATCTGATGAACTGTGATAGTAAAACAGTTGAAATTTTCACAGATGACGACGTATTTCTGTTGCCTGTATCAAAAAAAGTACAAAAATAATAATTTTTTTTCTTACAAAAGACAATTTTTTTCTTTACTGTTTTTATAAATAATGGTACGGAACCCTTCGTGCGCGAGTCCGACTCGCACTTGGCCGAGCTTTTTAAGTGAGGTGTATATCGTATCACCGTCTTCTGTGAGGTGGCTCGAGTATGTTGAATAAAAAAATCGAAGAAACATTTTGAATTTGACGTTCGCCTATCCGCAGTAGCGGAGTCGCCTTGTGGTCTTAATCTTTATATTCTCTGTACCTACAGAGGATGCCTTGCTCACCAGTGGAAGATATATAAGCTGTTTTATTACTCATTTCTTTACTCCTGTATGCGTTGTCTGCTTCTACTTGTGCAATGTGTTCGCTATTTTACTTTTTGGAGCAGTTGGCAAAATTACGAATTTCCAGTCTATAAGCTTTTAAGGATGTTAAATCTTTTGTTCTTCCTTCTTCCGTGTTCATGATTTTACGCATACAAAGAGTATCACATTCTTTAAATTTGATATGCAAATATCAAATTTAGAGAATTATATATATGCCCAGTTTTTTAGTTAATTAAATTTGGCTCTTAATTTTAACAGCTCAATGATGTAAAATGAGTTTAATTCTATTTTATTCCTTTATGGTACATAATAACATTATAAATATTAGAAATTGCCTTGTTAATAATTATATTTTTACTACGAGACGAACTATGAACGCATCTGTTGTGCGCGACCAAAATAAGTATTTGGTTAATCTATCTATATCTATATATATAAAAACTAGTTGCTGCCCGCGACTACGTCTGCGTAGAGGGGTGATAATTTAGGGTTGTATGTATTTTTGTATGATGTGTCATAAAAAAATAAAAATAAAAAATTTTGTCTAAAAAATAAAGAAAAAATTTTGGGGTGGACTACCCTTAACATTTAGGGGGATGAAAAATAGATGTTGGCCGTTTCTCCACTCTGGCCGACAATCACGCTAAGGATCACAAAAATCGGTAGAGCCGTTTCGGAGGAGTTCAAGTTCGAACCCCGTGACACGAGAATTTTATATATTAGAAGATTAATTGCTGTTCGTTAGTCTCGCTAAAACTCGAGATGGCCTGGAATGATTTGGCTAATCTTGGTCTTGAAATGTTCGTGGCAGTCCAGGGAAGGTTTCAATTATGAGAAATTATGGAAAAATTGGGAAATCGAAATAGCAACAATTTTATTTTCCCATACAAACTGTTCCTACCTCTCAAACATTTTATGCGTGCGTTCCCAAAATTCGTTTCCAATGAAATTTGGAATCTGAACACATATAAAAAGAATTTTCTAGTGATTTTCCAAGTGATGAGAGCCATGGAACGCTTTCGTTTGATAGTGTGAGTCTGATGACACTGTTACATATAATATACCTCTGCTGATACGATGTTCATAACAGGATAT